TGCATGACTGCGCAACTGTCATTCAAAGTGCAACACCACTGAAAGCTGAAAATTGGCATGAACTGGAAGGGGTTGAAAGTGTCCGGACTGGAAAGGGGGTGAAAGTGTCCGGACTGGAAGGGGGGGAAAGTGTCCGGACTGGAAGGGGGTGAAAGTGTCCGGACTGGAAGGGGGTGAAAGTGTCCGGACTGGAAGGGGGTGTGAAAGTGTCTGGACTGGAAGGGGGTGAAAGTGTCCGGACTGGAGGGGGGTGAAAGTGTCCGGACTGGAAGGGGGTGAAAGTGTCCGGACTGGAAGGGGGTGAAAGTGTCCGGACAGGAAGGGGGGAAAGGGAAAGTGTCTGGACTGAAGGGGGGGAAAGTGTCTGGACTGGAAGGGGGTGAAAGTGTCCCGGACTGGAAGGGGGGGTGAAAGTGTCCGGACTGGAAGGGGGAGAAAGTGTCCGGACTGGAAGGGGGTGAAAGTGACCGGGACTGGAAGGGGTGAAAGTGTCCGGACTGGAAGGGGGGGAAAGTGGTCCGGACTGGAAGGGGGTGAAAGTGTCCGGACTGGAAGGGGGGAAAGTGTCCGGACTGGAAGGGGGGGAAAGTGTCCGGGGACTGGAAGGGAGTGAAAGTGTCCGGACTGGAAGGGGGGGAAAGTGTCCGGACTGAAGGGGGTTACATTGGCAAATGAAAGTGTCCATCCGACTGGAAGGGGGAGAAAGTGGGAAAGCTTAAAAATTGGCATGAACTGGAAGGGGGTGAAAGTGTCCGGACTGGAAGGGGGGGAAAGTGTCCGGACTGGAAGGGGGTGAAAGTGTCTGGACTGGAAGGGGGTGAGAAAGAGTGTCCGGACTGGAAGGGGGGAAAGTGTCCGGACTGGAAGGGGGAGAGAAAGTGTCCGGACTGGAAGGGGGTGAAAGTGTCCGGACTGGAAGGGGAGAAAGTGTCCGGACTGGAAGGGGGGGAAAGTGTCTGGACTGGAAGGGGGTGAAAGCGTCCGGACTGGAAGGGGGGAAAGTGTCCGGACTGGAAGGGGGGGAAAGTGTCCGGACTGGAAGGGGGTTGAAAGTGTCCGGACTGGAAGGGGGGGAAAGTGTCCGGACTGGAAGGGAGGTGAAAGTGTCCGGACTGGAAGGGAGGTGAAAGTGTCCGGACTGGAAGGGAGTGAAAGTGGTCGGACTGGAAGGAGGTGGTGAAGTGTCGAAAGGGGTGAAAGTGTCCGGACTGGAAGGGGGGAGAAGTGTCCGGACTGGAAGGGGGGGAGAAGTGTCCGGACTGGAAGTGGTTTTTTAGAGTATAAATGTCTTCAGTGGCTTTTTAAATAAACAATATAGTTTGTGCAATATTTGTTTGGGGGGTTCAGTCCACCCCCTCCCCCCTTCTCATTCATGACCCCCTTCCATGCTCTGCTTGGAAAATCTTTTTGACCTTTTTTTTTTATATACAATATTATTTTTTATTATTTATTGGAATTTTTTTTTTAGGAGCCCCGTTGGGGGGCTTTGGTGAGATAACGGGTTGAAACAGACCTTTGATGTTCCATCTTTGACATAGGGAAAGGATATTGATGACACAGCCCTCAGCCCCCATCTCAGCAGCCTCAGCAGCACAGAATGAATGGATAGGAATGTTTCTGTACAGAGTTTCCCGTTCGTTCATAAAAACTGAAGCATAGGAAACGGTTTACTACACTTCAATCATGAATCGGTAATGACCGCTGACTGTGACGTCTCAGACAAGGAAGGGGCTGACACATTTAGTGACCCCTTCCCCACCCTCTATCCTGACAAATCCCCTCCAGCAGCCGACAGGAGAGAGGAGGGAGGGGAACCTGGCAGTGCTGTGGGGGGAGGAGGGGGGGCCAGGAGACAGTACAGGGGGGACTGGAGAAGAGCACGGGGGACTGGAGAAGAGAATGGGGGACTGGAGAGGAGCACGAGAACTGGAGAAGAGGGAATGAGGGACCGGAGAAGAGAGGGACGGAGAAGAGCAGAGGACTGGAGAAGAGCATGAGGGACCGGAGAAGAGAATGAGGGACCGGAGAAGAGCATGAGGGACCGGAGAGAAGAGCATGAGGAACCGGAGAAGAGCATGAGGGAGGGGAGAGAGCTGGAGAAGAAGCATGGGGGACTGGAGAGGAGCATGAGGGACTGGAGAAGAGATGAGAACAGCAGAGGACTGGAGAACAGCAGGAGACTGGAAAAGAGCATGAGGGACCAGAGAAGAGCAGCGGACCGGAGAAAAGCAGGGGGACTGGAAAAGAGCATGAGGGACCGGAGAAGAGCATGAGGGACCAGAGAACAGCAGGGGACTGCAGAAGAGCACGGGGGAATGGAGAAGAGCATGAGGGACTGGAGAAGAGCATGAGGGGACCGGAGAAGAAGGAAGAGCATGAGGGACCAGAGAACAGCAGGGGACTGGAGAAGAGCACGGGGGACTGGAGAGGAGCATGAGGGACTGGAGAAGAGCATCAGGGACCGGAGAAGAGCATCAGGGACCGGAGAAGAGCAGAGGACTGGAGAAGAGCATGGGGGACTGGAGAGGAGCATGAGGGACTGGAGAAGAGCATCAGGGACCGGAGAAGAGCATCAGGGACTCGGAGAAGAGCAGAGGACTGGAGAAGAGCATGGGGGACTGGAGAGGAGCATTAGGGACTGGAGAAGAGCATGAGGGACTGGAGAAGAGAATGAGAACAGCAGAGGACTGGAGAACAGCAGGAGACTGGAAAAGAGCATGAGGGACCAGAGAAGAGCAGCGGACCGGAGAAAAGCAGGGGACTGGAAAAGAGCATGAGGGACCGGAGAAGAGCATGAGGGACCAGAGAGCAGCAGGGGACCGGAGAAGAGCATGTGGGACTGGAAATGCAATGAGCATGAGGGACCTGAGAACAACAGCAGGGGACCGGAGAACAGCAGGGGACTGTAGAAGAGCAGGGGACTGTAGAAGTGCATGAGGGACTGGAGAAGAGTAGGGGACCGGAGAAGAGCAGGGGACCAGAAAAGAGCAGGGGACTGGAGAAGTGTAGGGGACCGGAGAAGAGCAGGGGACCGGAGAAGAGCAGGGGACCAGAGAAGAGCAGGGGACCGGAGAAGAGCAGGGGACAAGAGAAGAGCAGGTGACCGGAGAAGAGCATGAGGGACCGGAAAAGAGCATGAGGGACCGGAGAACAGCAGGGGACTGTAGAAGAGCATGAGGGACCGGAGAAGAGCAGGGGACCGGAGAAGTGTATGAGGGACCGGAGCAGATCAGGGGACCAAAGAAGAGTAGGGGACTGGAGAAGAGCAGGGGACCAGAGAAGAGCAGGGGACTGGAGAAGAGCAGGGGACCAGAGAAGAGCAGGGGACCGGAGAAGAGCATGAGGAACTGGAGAACAGCAGAAGAGCAGAGAAAAGCACGGAGGGGGGGACGGGAAAATGGCAGGGAACCAGAGAAGAATGGGGGGGGGGGAGAGCACAGAAGTTGCTGGGGAAGATCACAGGGAGGCCAGGAGAGAGCAGAGGGGCCCGCTGGAAGCAGAAGAAAGATGGACAGGAGGAGCGGCATATATATAGGAAACCAATCTCTCCATGTTCCTCCCGCATGCCTCCCGGGAGGGAGAGAGGAGAAGCATACGTTCAGAGGCTGCAGGAGGAACATGGAGGGCATTGGTTCCTCTATATGCCGCCTCTCCTGTCCCGGTGTAGAGGGGAGCCACATGGGCCCCCTGGAGAATGGGACCGGGTCACAATGGTGACCTCTGTAGTTACGCCCCTGATTAGGTCTCCTTCCTTAACAGATGGGGCTGTGTGGCAGAGCTGTGTAAATCTCGGGAGTGGATGGACAGCTCTCATGTATGTGTTTCAGCTGTTTGCCCCGAGTTGAGCTTTACAAGATGGAAGTTATGAGAGCGACGACAGGCTGACTCAGAGAGTAAGCTTCAAGCTATGACTCTCCGGATTCAGGGGCGGTAAAATCTAGGTCAGTATAACTGCTCACAGAGAGGGCTGTCATGTCACATCCTCGTCTCCGAGACACAGGCAGATGTTCCACCATCAGATGGACGTCCCAGAAGGGTTCATCTCAGTGCGCAGAACTGCACCGCCAGCAGAAGGAGAACACAATCAAGATGACTTCTCCATGTTAGTGAAGTCAGAGCGGAGAAAATGTGTCCCCACCATGCAGAACTAGGACACCCCGCCACCAGAGGCTTCCTGCCTACAGACACTTACTGTGTGTACTGAGCAATAGGGGGACATCCAATCTTCTGCATAGATGCCCACAAAGCTTCGGCTCCATAAAAGTCATACTCTACCTATGGGACCGTAGTCACCTTCCCCAACCCCTTGTGTCGCTTAAAGCGCAACTTCACTCCCAGGGAGCGCGCAAAGGCAATGGATGCGGGGCGACGCTTAGAAACGTCCTCCCGCATCAGCAGCGCTCACGTCCAGCCATTTATCGTTTATCGACATGGGCCGGACGGGAAGAGGTTAATCACTTGCCCTCCAGAGAATCCCCCCCCCCCCCCTTCCTGACTGGGCCATTTTTTGCAAAACAACACTACGCTACTTTAACTGACAATTGCGCGGTCCTCATGCAACACTGCACCCACATTAAATTAATTGTTTTCCCACAAATTGAGCTTGCTTTCGGTGGTATTTGATCGCCTGTGCGGTTTTAATTTTTTTGTGCCATAAATAAAAAAAAAGCCGACAATTTTGAGAAAAAAAAAACAATATTTTTGACTTTTTGCTATTAACCACTTCAAGTCCGGACACTTTCACCCCCTTCCAGTCCGAAAACTTTCACCCCCTTCCAGTCCGGACACTTTCACCCCCTTCCAGTCCGAAAACTTTCACCCCCTTCCACTTCCAGACACTTTCACACCCCTTCCCAGTCCGGACACTTTCACCCCTTCCAGTCCAGACACTTTCCTCCTCTTCCAGTCCGGACACTTTCACCCCCTTCCAGTCCGAAAACTTTCACCCCCCTTCCAGTCCGGGGACACTTTCACCCCCTTCCAGTCTGAAAACTTTCACCCCCTTCCACTCCAGACACTTTCACCCCCTTCCAGTCCGGACACTTTCACCCCCTTCCAGTCCGGGACACTTTCCTCCTCTTCCAGTCCGGACACTTTCCTCCTCTTTCAGTCCAAACACTTTCACCCCTTCCAGTCCGGACACTTTCCCCCCCCTTCCAGTCCGGACACTTTCACCCCCTTCCTGTCCGGACACTTTCACCCCCTTCCAGTCCGGACACTTTCACCCCCTTTCCTGTCCGGACACTTTCACCCCCTTCCTGTCCGGACACTTTCACCCCCTTTCAGTCTGGACACTTTCACCCCCTTTCCTGTCCAGACACTTTCACCCCCTTCCAGTCCGGACACTTTCACCCCCTTTCAGTCCGGACACTTTCCCCCCTTCCAGTCCGGACACTTTCACCCCCTTCCAGTCCGGACACTTTCACCCCCTTCCAGTCCGGACACTTTCCCCCCCCTTCCAGTCCGGACACTTTCACCCCCTTCCTGTCCGGACACTTTCACCCCCCTTCCAGTCCGGACACTTTCACCCCTTCCTGTCCGGACACTTTCAAATACCCCTTCCTGTCCGGACACTTTCACCCCCTTCCAGTCTGGACACTTTTTCACCCCCTTCCAGTCCGGACACTTTCACCCCCTTCCAAGTCCGGACAAAGATACTTTCACACCCTCACCGGACCTTTCAGTCCGGACCCCCCCCTTCCAGTCCGGACACTTTCACCCCTTCCAGTCCGGACACTTTCACCCCCTTCCAGTCCGGACACTTCCCCCCCCCCCTTCCAGTCCGGGGACACTTCCCCCCCCCCCTTCCAGTCCGGACACTTCCCCCCCCCCCCTTCCAGTCCGGACACTTTCACCCCCTTCCAGTCCGGACACTTTCACCCCCCTTCCAGTCCGGACACTTTCACCCCTTTCAGTCCGGACACTTTCACCCCCTTCCAGTCCGGACACTTTCACCCCCTTCCAGTCCGGAACACTTTCACCCCCTTCCAGTCCGGACACTTTCACCCCTTCCAGTCAGGAACACTTTCACCCCCTTCCAGTCAGGAACACTTTCACCCCCTTCCAGTCCGGACACTTTCACCCCCTTCCGGTCCAGACACTTTCACCCCCTTCCGGTCCGGACACTTTCACCGCCTTCCGGTCCAGACACTTTCACCCCCTTCCAGTCCGGACACTTTCACCCCCCTTCCATTCCGGACACTTTCCCCCCCTTCCCGCCCCCAGGCCAATTTTCAGCTTTCAGCGCTATCACACTTTGAATGACAATTGCGCAGTCATAAATGAAAATCCAAACATTTTGAAAAAAAAGTGTTTTTCTTATAAAATTTTGCAAATATACAATCTTTCTTCATAATTCTTGGCCAAAAGATATTCAGCTATCTTTTTAGTAAAAAAAAAAATAATAACCCAAATTAGTTTATAACCAAAAATTATAATTTTTCAAAAAAATTGTTTGCATTTTTATTTTTTTTAACATGTGTCACTACTTTTTTTACACTAATTTCTTTTACACCCATAAAGGCTGTAAAAGCAATCATTTCTCCTTCTCTCTGGCTGCATTCTTGCAGCCATTGAGAAATGCTTTGAGGGCTGTGTTTGGTCACAGCTTTTCACATGGTACACGGATGTTGTAAACGGCCCTGTACCATGTGATCTCTGTGATCATTCACAGATTTCACTAGTAGTAAGCAATGATGTCAGAAGTGACATCTTCCTTACTACTATTCATGTGATCATTGATTGGCCAATCAGTGATCACATGATCGGGACCTCACACAGAGGTGCCATACAGCGATCGCGGTGCCACACGCTCCCAGGCAGTGCGCACAGTCAGTGGGAGGAATAGTGTCCCATCATTGGTATCAGTGGGAGGAATAGTGTCCCATCATTGGTATCAGTGGGAGGAATAGTGTCCCATCATTGGTATCAGTGGGAGGAATAGTGCCCCATCATTGGTGTCAGTGGGAGGAATAGTGCCCCATCATTGGTGTCAGTGGGAGGAATAGTGCCCCATCATTGGTATCAGTGGGAGGAATAGTGCCCCATCATTGGTGTCAGTGGGAGGAATAGTGCCCCATCATTGGTATCAGTGGGAGGAATAGTGCCCCATCATTGGTGTCAGTGGGAGGAATAGTGCCCCATCATTGGTGTCAGTGGGAGGAATAGTGCTCCATCATTGTTGTCAGTGGAAGGAATAGTGCCCCATCATTGGTTCTAGTGGGAGGAATAGTGCCCCATCATTGGTGTCAGTGGAAGGAATAGTGCCCCATCATTGGTTCTAGTGGGAGGAATAGTGCCCCATCATTGGTATCAGTGGGAGGAATAGTGCCCCATCATTGGTATCAGTGGGAGGAATAGTGCCCCATCATTGGTATCAGTGGGAGGAAAAGTGCCCCATCATTGGTGTCAGTGTGAGGAATAGTGTCCCATCATTGGTATCAGTGGGAGGAATAGTGCCCCATCATTGGTATCAGTGGGAGGAATAGTGCCCCATCATTGGTATCAGTGGGAAGAATAGTGCCCCATCATTGGTATCAGTGGGAGGAATAGTGCCCCATCATTGGTGTCTGTGGGAGTAATAGTGCCCCATCATTGGTGTTAGTGGGAGAAATAGTGCCCCATCATGGATATCAGTGGGAGGAATAGCGCCCCATCATTGGTATTAGCGGGAGGAATAGTGCCCCATTATTGGTGTCAGTGGGAGGAATAGCGCCCCATCATTGGTATTAGCGGGAGGAATAGTGCCCCATCATTGGTGTCAGTGGGAGGAATAGTGCCCCATCAAGGGGTCAGTGGGAGGAATAGTGCCCCATCATTGGTGTCAGTGGGAGGAATAGTGCCCCATCATTGGTTCTAGTGGGAGGAATAGTGCCCCATCTTTGGTTTCAATGGAAGACGTACTGCAGCATTGTTGGTCTCAGTGGGAAGAATAGTGCCCCAAGGGCCAGATAATGGGTAGCAAAGGGCCACATCTGGCCATCAGGCTGCAGTTTGCAGACCCCTGGTGTCACGGAGCTGGTCCTTCCTCCCCAATCCTCTAGGTTTGCTGCCTGCCACCCCCCACTCCTCTTCAGCCCCTCACTTTTCTGTCCCGTCCATGCTGGGACTTCTAGTCCTCCGTGTCCCTGACACAGGCAGCCCTTCACCCCCCTGTCCCTGGCAGTCTGGCCCCCTGCTGAGGGAATCCACAAACAGGCCCCCCTCCTCCCTTCCCCCTCATGCACATCTTCCCAGGCTCCATACCGGAGGCCGTGTTCCCTGGGCGGGTCTGGAGACCTGGGAGACAGGACCCATTGCCATGGTAACCCGACAGGAAGTATCGGGTTACCACTGCAGCAGCAAGGCGCCCCGCTCCCTACTTAAGAGAGAGCAAGGAAAACCCCCCTTCTGTTCTCCTGGCTGCGTGTGTGAGGGAAGACTGTGCTGAGTGCCAGCTTCTCTCATACGACCATCCCCCGTCCCCCTCCTCATCTTCCTGACTGATCTGACTGTCCGTCTGCTGCTGGATCCTCTCCAGTGTGGGGTGAACTCTCTGCTGCCTGGAACCTCTTCCCTGGCTGGACTTACCTCTTGTTCCCTGTGAGCCTGCGGGCTGGACATTTTCTCTGGCTGCACTTACCTCTTGTTCCCTGTGAGCCTGCGGGATGGACATTTTCCCTGCCTGGATTGAACTCTTTGTTGCCCGTGAGCTGAATGGACTTAACCCTTCCCTGCCTGAAGCTGCCTGTGTGGATTAACCCTGTGTTGCCAGTGTGGACTGTAGCCCTCTGTGTCCGGCTCCCTGCATGCAGTAGGTGGACTAGTACCGTGCTGCCCAAGGGACTGGGCCCAATTCTCCCCAGGAACCTGAAGTCCCGCAGAGCCACCCCGCCCTTGCCTTACTGAGCCCTGTGGATTACCATACCCCTGTTGTTCCATATTACCTTCCAGAGAACTTTGCTGTGTCTGGTGTGGATCTGTGGACTAGCGGAGCTGTTGTCTGTGCCCCAAAAACCTCCCCAATAAAAGCCCACACGTTGGGTTCCATGCAGTCTGTCTCTGTGTGCTGTCTGGTTCTCTTGACACCTGGCTTAAGCAATCACAGGGGAAGTGGGAGCAGGTACCTGTTACTCGTCCCCCCACTTCCCAAAGGTGCCAATCCTTAACGGGCGCAGGAGACCAATCCACCAATCCTTAAAGCAGAACTTCCCCGTTTGGGTAGAGCTCCGCTTTAACACCTTTTCTTTGAAAAAAAGTAATGGCCTTAGATGTCTGTATATGCTGGCTCTCCTGCATCAGCAGAGGCAGAAAATTGTTTTGTCTCCGTCATTTCATCTCCTGCTGTTAGGGACCGACCGACAGTAGCCTCTAGCACTCCACAGACCAGGATTCCCCAGGGCGCGGAGTCTAAGCTCTGACCTGCTTGTTCACCAGAGCCCCTGATGGTGGGGATGGACTTGGAGCAGGCCGAAACCAGGTCGCAGCCCCTGGTTGCAACCAGCTGTGGTAGAGGCACTTGCCGGTCGTACGTAGCAGGTGAGAGCCTGATGTGAAGAGGTGGAGTGAGCGAAGTCAGACAGGCCAGGTCGGTAACAGTGGAGGCGGAACGGTACAAGCGGCAGGCAGAAGGATAAATGGGTCACAGGACAGGTTCAGCAACAGGAGGTCAAACGTATGGGATAAGACAGGAGAATGGTCAGACAAGCCAGGGATCAGAGCAGGAGACAGTCAATGGATCAGGGTCAGGCAGGGTTGGCAACAAGGCAATCTCTCAGGAACACAGGATAACAGGAAAAGACCATACAGCAACGTGAGCCCTACAGGAGCTGGATTAAATAGCGTGCCCCGCGCCATCATTGGTGCAAGGCGCGCGCCCGTGTGCGCGAGTGCACATGCGCAACCGCAATTGCCGCCGACCCCAGTCCTAAAGCCTGCATGTTCGTGTGCCAGCGTACTCTGCGCATGCGCACACCCGCGGGCCGCGGCGTATTCCGCGATTCCTGACACCTGCTCAGAGGAAGCCCACCAAGAATACTCCATTCCCTATCTTTCCCTAGATCAGTGGATGTCAGCTTATGAGATATAAAGGGAGCCTCAACCGTGGCCCCTGACCTCACCAAAAGGCCACGCTCAGGGCTTTCTTTCAGTGGGAGTGCACATTCCTCAAGGGTAAATAGTGGCAAGGGGTGGTGGGTGTGCTGGAGGGTCCATTGATGTTGGCTGCTGGGGGAGCTATTTTCA